GCAGGACGGCCATTTGAGAATGCAGCCACCCTGGTGATTTGGGTGCTGTTTCAGGGGCAAATCACAGAGATGCTCAATAATCAGAAATGTATTTCATCTGCATTTCCTCCTAACAGTGTTCCAAGGCAGGCGTCCCTGTTCGCCTACTCCCGAGATCTGTTGGGATGCGTTAGTGCCCACAGAGTGGGCCAGGGAAAGGAGCACTTCCTAGATGGCCTTTGGGTTCAAGAATTGTACACCTGCTGGTATAGGTGTATGAGGTGGGCCTCTATTTTCTTATACTTCTGTTTTTTTCCTTTTCCTATTTTTATAAACCATTCCCCTCCCCCACCCCCTCCCTACCATCTGTTCTAAGAGCTGGGAGTCAGGGCAGCCGTTCCTGTCATGAATGAAAAGCACAAGGCTGTTCCCTGTGCTCTTCCAGGCCTGTTTCCCAGCGCTCTCCTCCACAGCCCAAGAATGTGTAAAGGGCTGAGTCAGCAGTCAGCTGCCGTGAGACAAAAACAGGGTGTCATCGGCTGGCAGATCCACACAGATGCTCTGGAAACCTGGAAACCTGGCCTGGCTGCTTCCTCTTCCTCAGGCCCCTCACTTCCCTTGCTGCTGTCTGCCTGCTGTCTGCCGTACTTTGGCCTTTCTGGCCAGGTTTCCTGGTCTCTAGGTTCCTGTGATTATGAGTGTTGATTTTCCCAGAATGCTTGGAAGGGTGGCACACTGGGTGAGGAGAAGCCAGGAAGACTATGATGCAGCTTTGACCTTCAGGACGGGGGAAGTGACGCCTAACAGGATGGGCCCTTCTGCCATTCTTCCTGGCCATTCTCAGTGTGAGTCACAGTGCTGGGCAAGTGCCCTGGGGAGTGAGGCAGTCCTGGTGCACAGCACAGGTGTACAGACGGGCTGGACAGTCCGGTGCACAGCACAGGTGTACAGACGGGCTGGACAGTCCTGGTGCACAGCACAGGTGTAGACACGGGCTGGACAGTCCGGTGCGGCACAGCACAGGTGTACAGATGAGCTGGACAGTCCGGTACACACAGCACAGGTGTACAGACGGGCTGGACAGTCCAGTGCGGCACAGCACAGGTGTACAGACGGGCTGGACAGTCCCGGTGCACACAGCACAGGTGTACAGACGAGCTGGACAGTCCCAGTGCACAGCACAGGTGTACAGACGGGCTGGACAGTCCGGTGCACACAGCACAGCACAGGTGTACAGATGGGCTGGACAGTCCTGGTGCACAGCACAGGTGTACAGACGGGCTGGACAGTCCGGTGCACACAGCACAGCACAGGTGTACAGATGGGCTGGACAGTCCCGGTGCACAGCACAGGTGTACAGACGGGCTGGACAGTCCCGTGCGGCACAGCACAGGTGTACAGACGGGCTGGACAGTCCTGGTGCACCACAGCACAGGTGTACAGATGAGCTGGACAGTCCGGTACACACAGCACAGGTGTACAGATGAGCTGGACAGTCCTGGTGCACACAGCATAGGTGTACAGACGGGCTGGACAGTCCTGGTGCACAGCGCAGGTGTACAGACGGGCTGGACAGTTCCCGTGTGGCACAGCACAGGTGTACAGACGGGCTGGACAGTTCCCGTGTGGCACAGCACAGGTGTACAGACGGGCTGGACAGTCCCGGTGCACAGCACAGGTGTACAGACGGGCTGGGCAGTGCTGGCCGCCCTGGACCGTCTTCCTGCTGTGCTCACCTGGCTCACAGAGGCGAAAGGGGAGGCAGCCCAAGGGACTCTGTCTCGGGTAGTCTTACCCCGGGTGCCTGTTGCATTGTCCTGAGAGCCAGCCTACTTCTGTTTAGACGGTGTCATTAGTGCCTGGCCAGGTCATGATCCCTTAGCCAGGGCACCTAGTGCTTGCCTGCAGAGCAGACACTGCACCCTTTGGGGAACTGGGCCGAGACTGTGCATTAGGTGATCATTTACACTCAAATAGGCCCTGGGATGTTGTTAATGAAAGTGGTCAGCCTTGATGTACTTTGGTGTGGGAATGCCCCGTGGTGGTCAGCAGCTCTGGGGAAGGGAGCGTTTACTTCAGAGTTTGCAGTACCCAAGCAAAGGATGCCAGCTCGGGCTAGAGCTGTTCTTTGGAGAGTAATATCCAAGATGATTGTCAAGGGATAGGATGGGCACAGGGCAACACTACAGCCTGGAAAGGCTTGAGAAGTGTGATGTGAGCCGGGCGGTGGTGGCGCACACCTGTAATCCCAGCACTCGGGAGGCACAGGCAGGCGGAGCTCTGTGAGTTCAAGGCCAGCCTGGTCTGCATAGTGAGTTCCAGGACAGCCAGAGCTACACAGTGAGATCCTGCCTCAAAATAAAACAAAAAAATAAATAAATAAAAAGAAGAAATATGTAGTGTGGAATCTTGAGTATGCTGGATTCAGCAAGAACTCTACGGTTCTGAGTGCATTGCATTCTGGCTAGAGGTAATCAGTGGCTGCCAGCTAGGAACAGAAAAACCACGTTCCTTCTTGGCACGGGTAATCCGGCCAGGTGTGCTCCGAACTTGGGGAATGTTGCGCTGTAACCCCAGTAGTGTTAGGTGTTTGCGAACACAGGTAGGGTGTGGGGGTTGAGGTCGGAAGGGCAGGGCACTGCCCGCCCTCGGAAGCCTGGTTACAGTCAGTCGCTGTTCCTGCCACCCTTTCTTCCGCCTCGTCATAGAGATGTCTGGATTTTTCCACTCTTACAAGTTGTTTTTTTTTTTTTTTTTTTTGGTTTTTCAAGACAGGGTTTCTCTGTGTAGCTTTGCGCCTTTCCTGGGACTCACTTGGTAGCCCAGGCTGGCCTCGAACTCACAGAGATCCGCCTGGCTCTGCCTCCCGAGTGCTGGGATTAAAGGCGTGCGCCACCACCGCCCGGCACAAGTTGTTTTTTTGACTGACTACCATTTCTAAGTCTGGGCTTGTAAGAAAAGAATGGACTCTTTTTATGACCTTCAAAATGTTTTCTTACTGCCATGACCTAAAATAAACCGTTATTTAGGGGAGACCAGAGGATGGTTCCGATTAATCCCAGCATTTCTTTTATTTGTTTTTGTATTTCTTCTTCATTTGTGGCGCTAAGGATGGAGCCCAGAGCCTTTGACATGTCACTGCTCTGCCCTGAGCCACACCCCTAAATAATGCATTCTTCTTTTTTTAAATCCCGTGCTCTTGGCCACATGGATATCGACACAGGCCACGCTCATTAGCAATGTGGGTTTTAGTACCCAGAGCCAGGGGAGGGCTGCTGAGTGCGTCACAGTTTTGTGGTAAGAAGCCAAGCCAGCGTGTGTGGTAAGAATCACCGTCTTACACTCTTGGGCTTGTCCGCTCTCCTGGGAAGCAGGAGGGGAAACGCCGGTCCCTGTACTTCCCACCCCCTCCTACGGAACCCGAGCCCTGTCTCAGGGGTTTGGATTTAATCCCACGAAGCTTTAGCAGGATGTGTAGAAAAGCGGAATGTCCCCCGCTTCCCTGAGCATTCTGTTGCCTGGTGATTTGTCCAAAGAAACAGTTTCATTCAGTCTCGGGGTCATCCCTGTCATAGAATCTGGGGTCTGTCTCTGAGAATCGGTTCCATCAGCACCAACAGCTTGGGGGCTCCCACCAGCGTGAGTCCATTCACTGGATAAAGGGCTGCTCCTTGCCCCTCAGTAGTAAATGCAGTGCATCTCCACAGTTGTTGTTGTCATCGTCGTCGTCGTCATCGTCGTCATGTCCCCCCCCCCATCCCAGAGTAAAGCCTCTTCATAGCAAAGCTCCACCCAGTCTCCTTTATCCCAGAGGCAACTGATGATGAGTGAGGTGTTCTAACTGGAGCACTCCCAGAGTGCTGTGGCCAGAATTGTCCTAGCATTTGACTCGAAGGACTTGAGGGCTCCCAGAGGTGGCAGGTCATCAGTCCTTCCTCCTCACTTTCAAATGGGAACTCAGAGCCACGGGAGGAAGACTGACTTCCCGAGGGTCACGCAGCAGCCAGTGCAGGCCCCGGGCTGGGGTGGACTTCCTGCACTCGTGGCTCTTTGTCTCTGGATAGTAGTTCCAATAAAACATGGCAGGAGAGACGGGCGAGGAGTGGGTGCAGACGTATGTAAGGTTGCTGTTTCCCACCTGGTCAAAGGTTTGTCTGCACCCATACGGGGAGACTGGTGGTGGCCATTTCTGATATTCTGGTATGGGTAACATCATTATTCTAAAATATGAATTTGGAAATGTGGCTATAAACTCACCCTGCATGTACCATGTGCAGTGGAAAACTTTGTGATTCTGATGTGTCAAGGGACTCTCATGTGTCTGTCCTCTGCTTCTTAGCCACCTCTGACACAATCCTTTGGCTTTCTTCAGCCTTCTCTGTACTAATTCTTGCAGTTGTCTTTGAAGAGGGCGTCTTCCTGATGGCCTCTATCAGATCAGCATAGCTCAGGTCTTGTGCAGAGTCCTGGGTCCTTCTTGCTCATAGGCCGTCCCATTGTGTGCCCTCTGCTTAAATATTTCCATTCCTTCCATATAAACCTGGTCTCCCTCCTCAGCCACTCAGTAAACTTCAAGGTTAGTCATATTAGTACTTCCATTTAGTGGGCTCAAGACAGTGAGCTCATCAGCCAGCCACACAAAGGAGTGCTTATGCTTTTAATCTTTTGGCTTGCTGTAGTTTCCCAGATTCCTGGTGGCCTCCATCAGGAAACTGGGACTCACTCTTGACCCTCACGGGACAGGACAGCTGGAGCGACCTCCCTGCCCAGTCCTGCCTGCCCTCCTTGCCCAGCTGAAAGCCTCCGCCGTCCCCGAAGAGGCCACCGTAGTATGTCTCTCTGCTCATGTTACCACCAGACTGTCAGCTCCCCAGCACCCCGTGTGGTGCCTCGAGTGTTTTCAGTGCACGTCCGTCAAGGACGTGAGTGGTGTCCGTCTTTGGGAAGGAGCACGTCTCCGGGGACATCTCATAAACACAGAGATGCTAACCATTTTCTTTCTCTCGCTTGTGTCCCGTTAGATTAAGGTGACAGAGCCAGGTGGATCCGCAGCCATTCCACTGCCCCTCGGGGGTCGTGCCAAGAGCAGGGGAGCATGGAGGAGAGGAAGCAGGAGACAACCAACCAAGCTCACGGCCTCTTTGACCGCTTTGTCCAGGCCACGACCTGCAAGGGAACCCTCAGGGCCTTCCAGGAGCTCTGTGACCACCTGGAACTGAAGCCCAAAGATTACCGCTCCTTCTACCCCAAGCTCAAGTCCAAGCTCAACTACTGGAAGGCCAAAGCCCTCTGGGCCAAACTGGACAAGCGGGGCAGTCACAAAGACTACAAAAAGGGAAAAGCGTGCACCAACACAAAGGTAAGCCTGGCCGTTCCTGGGACACGGGGTCACCCACACGGGGACTTCAGCTGGCTTCCGGGAGGACTGGAGGAGCAGAGGGCAGGGGAAGAGCAAGGCCTCAGCCCAGCTGAAGGGGTTAAACTTGGTCGAAACTTTGTTTCCTGTGTTCATTTGACACTCCCCTCACCAGACCCTGAGTGTATTTCATGTATTCTCTTATTGAACATTCAAAGCTTGAGAGCAGGTGGATAGAGAGTTTCTATTTTTCTGAAGCCCCCCCCCCCCAGCCCCAGCCCCAGCCTCACTGTTAAGAGGATGCAGATGCAGCTCTACGAAGCCAGGCCCATGTGAGTATACTCTCTGAATGGGACTTCATGGGTCTTGGCCTGGCATCTTTTCCAGAGCCATCTTTCCATGTTCAGCACCTGGTAAGGATTTGTCACAAGTGTCAGGCTTCTTCCCATCCGTAGTCTGAAGGTCGACTGTAGTTCACAAACAAGGACCTTGTGGATGGAAGTATTTCTATTGCTGTCTTCCCAGTGTGGAAAAATGGAGTTTC